GGAGGTACAAGAGCTGAACAAAAATTTTAAAGGTCAGCTCTAGAAGACAATGTCAAATATTACAACAAAATGTGCAAAGATCTGGAATCAGAAAACCAAAAAGGAAGAACAGGCTCAGCATTTCTCAAGCTGGGGCAACTGAAGAAAAAATTCAAAATTCAAAAATTTGTTATTGAAGGATTCTCTGAGCAAATTATTGAATGATGCAGAAAGCATCAAAAGAAGATGGAAGGGGACAGTGACGCGCGTGTTCCTGGAGGTGAGGAGAGGGCTGCAGAGCGCACTACTTATCCTGGGAGAGCCCAAAGAAGGAGGTATGCCCATGGACTTTTCTATAACATCATCCTCACTCCAAATGAAAGCTCCTGAAGGCTGCACGGAGATCGGGCTTCCAGCAGAGGTCAGGCTTGCACCTTCCTCTTGCGGTGGGCTGCAGTATGTGGCTGGAGATGGACTACACCTGTGGCTGCAGACTCAGGCAGAATTAAACACAAAACCGATTTCATTGTTTAATCAAAGTCCGCAAGCTCAAAAATGTTGCACATTTTACTGCCAGTCCTGTGGTGAAGGCATAATAAACAACAGGAAGCTCCTAAGGGTACTCCCACTACTGAGCGAAAACTGGGGAGCTTTAGTTGGAGAGTGGTGCTGTCATCCTGCCCCCTTTGCTAATCCACAAGAGAATGACTGTTTTATTGGAGACTCTTTCCTCTTGGTGAAATTAAGAAGCAATTCAAGGCTTCCAGGACCTGAGTAGACCAAATGGAGACACATTCTCTTTCTTCTGAGAATTGTTATGAATTGAAACCAAAGGCAAATACCAAAGTAATTTGTAAGCGTTGCAAGGTAACATTGAGAGAGACCATGTCATCAGAAACCATGACAGAAGTAATTATTCAGCCACCTGGGAGGAATTTTCCCATTCTACCAAGGTTTCAGTTTGTCCAGAGTGTTATTGCCCAGTGTCTGGTGGAACTCGCTTCTGCTAGAAGTACTTTTAGATTCACTATTCAAGGTTATGATGGGAAAACATATATCTTGTTATGGCTTCTAAACTCAGACAGTTTGGTGATTCAATTGTTGGGAAATTCCAAAAGTATAAAAAAATTTCCCCTCTTGGAAGATGTTTTGAAGGAAGATTCCAGTTCTGTCTGGAATGCCATCAAGGTCCTATACCAGCCATGCATCCAAAACAGGAATGAAAAGCTGGCCAGTTCATGGGAAAGAGACATCAGTGTCCACTCTGTAACCCTGCCTGCCACAACCTGCTTGGAGCTGTTGTTGATATTGTTGAGGCATAACACCATGCTGCCACCATCTCTTCGCTGTATGAATGCCTTTCAGGTTGCCTTCTTAAAGATGTAACTGTTGGAGCCCAGGTATCCCCTCCCTGGCAGACAGCTCTCCAACACCAGCCCGGAGCATACCAAAGGCCAGCAGTATGCTCAATGGGTATCTGTTACCGAGACAAGAACCAGAGCTACAGAATGTCACTGCATATTTTTTCCCCCCTTATTCGCATATTTTCTCTAAGAGAAAAGTTTACTTTAGGTCTTTGAAAAACCAGGGCTGTGGAGAAAGTCTTAGTAGCATGTTGTCAGCAGGTTGAGATAAGTATGGAAGTTACATCTCCATTTCCCACAGAGAAGACTTTCAAATAGGTGTTGTGTCAGCACTACAGGGAAGGCTTTTAGCTAATGGAGACCCACCTGTCCTGTGAGGAACTGAGTTAATAACATTGGCAAAACTGAC